ATTCAAATATGTCATATTGGGCCAACATTTCGTTTCACCTAATTTTCGATTTGCCCGATTATCGATTCGCCCAATTTTCGAATGTTGAAAAATGAATGTTCTGGGTGGCCAACTAAGAATCCAGAGTTCGATACCTCTGTTGTCTTGAGAGATACAGAAAAAAGTTTTGCATTCAAATTGAAGTGATAACCCAGCTCCACATTTCAAAATTTCTTTGAAATACACAGGGTGTTCCGTAAGGTCACAGCACATTAGAGCTATGTTTTTTTCATTGGAACATCCTATATTTTATTTCATTTTTGAATTCTCCCTGACGATTTGATTTCAACGACGTATCATACTAAGGGTCTAGCAGTGAAAGTTACTGACGTATAGGGTGTGCAAAATTGAGATTTTCCAAGTTCAGGATTTTTTTCTGTCGAAACTGTTCATTATTCGTCAAATTGGTGTTCAATTGACATTTAATTGAAACAAATTCTAAATTTAGATTATTTGACCACCTTGTATCAATTTCAATTGAACACCAATTGATAGTGAGTGAAAAGTTGAGATAGGGACATGTAAACCGTTTTGACGAATAATGAACAGTTTCGACAGGAAAAAATCCTGAACTTGGAAAATCTCGATTTTGCACACCTATATGTCAGTAACTTTCACTGCTAGACCCTAAGTATGATACGTCGTTGAAATCAGATCTTCAGGGAGAATTCAAAAATTAAATAAAATATAGGGTGTTCATATGAAAAAAACATAGCTTTGATGTGCTGTTACCTTACGGAACACCCTATGTATTTCAAAGAAATTTTGGAACGTGAAGCACGGTTATTACTTCAATTTTGATACATGAATTTTTTTTGTATCTCTCAAGACAACAGAGAAATCGAACTCTGGAGTCTTAGTTAGCCACCCTGTACATTCTAGGATGAGGGTTCATTTGAACGAGTCAAGTTGAGTTATTCAAACAAAGGGGTCTCATTTGTTCTCTCAAGTAATTTTCCGAAAAACATACTTCTCAGGAAGGTTAATTTAGGCAGAGTGAGGTTAAATCATTCACTTGGGCCGAGTGAGGTTAGATTGTTAGAAAAAAGAAGTCTCTTATGTTCTCTCAAGTGATTAAGTATGCGAAAAATATACTTTCTAGGAAGAACGTTCATTTAGGCAGAGTTAGGTGGGTTAGGTTAGGTTAGGTAGCTATTAGGTTAGGTAGTTTGGAAAAGGTAGTCGCACCTTCCTTATGCATAAAAGAATATTTTCCTTTCTTATATTACATCGAAATTCGGGTCGATCGAAATTTGGGTCAATCGAAAATTGGGTGAATCGTAAATTGGGTCGAACGAAACCTACCCTAAATATACGGTTCTATAAAATGAGTTATGTCTTTTGTATTGATTCCTCAGACTAATGATAAAAATGTATGGATGCCACAAAATATATTGTGAAATTTTTTTATGATATCGTGTCTCTGTCTCGAATATTGGAAATATAATTCAAAAGATATTTGAGATTCCGTTTGAAATATAGCTAGTTTACTATGTGTTATAACCTCATTTACAATAATTCGACCATAAAACTGGACCAGTGTGTCTGAATGATCAAAAATCAATTATGTATGGTAGACGACAAAACCACAATATAAAGAGAGAGTTTGGGGCTATCAAAAACGTGTCTCTCACTGTTTCTTGTTTTAACATACAGAGTGTCTCATGTGAAAGAGGGCCAACCTCATAAATTCTTTATTTATGTAGCGTTCTTGACGAACTTTTTTTAAGAAGAGGAGGAAGGAGTATTATCTGTACCACGTTTCATAAGAGAATATTCAACAATAACAATTCCATGAAATTACTGAAAAGTTACTTATTCAAAGAAGCTTGTAGTAACCCATGCACGAATTATAACTTCATTCAATAAGAACCTCTAATAATAATATAATAATTTATTCACCATACGGGCATATGTTAACCATAAAGTTCAAATACAATTGAAACGTGAATAAACGGGTGAATTTACGTGGAATATAGTAAAAAAGATATAAAATAATCGACAATCTACCTACATATGAATATAAATATATAATATCGAATAATCTGGAAATAGTACCCTAGCATGAACCCAATCATAATATTTTGCGCTGAGAGGAAGTATTTTTTAGTGTTATATACATTTTAAAATTCTTCAAAATTCAACTTAAAACCAGATCAAGATAGACAATCTTATAAAGACATTGCTGTACAGATATTCTCTTGAAATAATATTGAATTAATACACATGAATTGATTTCAGAGATTATGGATTTCTCAATTTTTCGTTATTAAACCTCCTCATAAAGTTGTTATAAGAAAAAACAATGAAAGTCTCAAAGTCTGCCGACCACGAAAAAATATGTAATAATAGTAGTGTGTAACTAGTTTCGACCACAGGCCATCATCAGAGTTGAGTCGAGGGATCTGGGAGGGTCATCTGTGACTTTAGTGATTGCATAGCCTATTATTATGAATATACAACATGAAAACCCTTTTTCTAGAAGCGTGCGTAATTCACCCTATACCCGCACGCAATCTGGTTTGGAAAGTGTCATTTTTTTCAGCTGTAGTGCGGGAAAACATTTGATACAATGAACAATATGAAAATTCGAGGTTTTTTATTGTGAAAATGAAGGAATATTAAAAAATAATAGTTGAAAACACAAATCAGTGAGTGTAATTATCTGAGTGACAGTCAGACCATTACTGTCATTTTCGATTCAGTGAAATTGTGATGAAAAACTTCCAGCTAATTTGAAAAAATAGATAATATAAATTCTTGATTTTTTCAGCCTCTGGATGTGATCAAGTAGGCCTCGTTTCCGCAATATGCTTTTTCCCCTTTCTGATTTTTAATAAATCGTCAAAATCGGTTCATGGATTGAAAATTTATAAGGGTGGCCTGCTTTCAAACGGATCACTCTGTATATAACAAACATCAGATAACTGCGATGAAAGTGGACCAGATCATTCTATCATGATCAAATTGAAAATGTCGATAAAATATTCAGGGTTTTTCCTGAATTTATTTCTATTGCCGAGACAGACGGCGTTGAAGTTCGTATTTTTTTATTGTCTATTTTCTCAACTAGACGACTCTTCGATGTTCAATTCTCAGTATAGCAGACCTCTGCAAGATTCAGTTAACCAAATGATAATCCATTTCAATTGCAATATTCTTATGCAAAATTTTAACTGTTGGATAGACGATCAGTAGACCTTTCAAACGAGGTGTCACATGACCCCTACTTGTATTTGAAAAAATCGTCCATTACGTCCCCAATCAGCACCAGACATCTTGAAGACGTACATTTTACGACTTACTTACGTCTTTACGTCCAGGGACGTATAAAGTACGTCTTTAAGATGTAAATCCATGTACATCTTAAAGACGTACACGAATTTACGTCTTCAAGACGTACATTTTAGGTCGTATCCACGTCGTTCATCCCATGTCGTATAAAATACGTCTTAAAGACGTACATACATTCCAGTACGTCAATTCGACTTATAGAACAATAATGTAAGTTATTTCCTGAAGAAAAACAAAATGTCATCTCTTCACGTTTTTTATTTTCAATTGTTCAGTTTTTTCTTATTTTCAACAAAAGTGATGTTTTTGAATTTTTTCGTCCGACATTTTGGAGCCTCCGTGTTAGATTCTCGAATTTTTATAAGAAAATCATATTCTCCGACCCCAAAAGTCCCATAGTAATCAATTTTGAATAAAATCGGACTATAATCACAAAACTCGTTCGCCATTTTGAAGCCGACATCTTGGATTTTTCATTTTCGACAAAAGGAATCATAATCTCTGATCCCGAAATCCTTCAGATGCCAATTTTGAATCAGATCAGACCATAATCAGAAAACCATATATGCCACATCGTCCGCCATATTGTATCCGCCATTCTGTTTTTTCCATTCAATAATAATATCACAACGAATTGTCACCGGAATAATATTTACTTGCCAAATTTCAAATCAATCGGACGATTTAAAGTGAGTCAAATTTAACTTGCACGTTTTGATTACAAACAGACACAAGGACATGTTGAAATACGTAAAAGCTTGTTATGTGATATATAGAACAAACAGAGTAACAGAAGAAGTGAATATGGTATAATCATCAGTCAGCAACAAAGAGCGCGGTTAGTTAGTACTTGAATGGGTGACCGCTTGTGTCTACCGTTTGATGAAGTCGTTTATTTCCCTTTTTTTTTGCTTGTCTGCACTTGTTGCTAACTTCAGTGCACAGGTGAAAATCAACTGAAACTATGTGATTTTTCCGTAATTTGAAAGTTCAATTTGAGGTCATGGAGAAAAAAACACCTAAAAAAGACGTCTTAAAGACGTACATATTAGTGGAGAATGTACGTTTTAAAGACGTCTTAAAGACTTACATGTCGGGACATAAGTACGCCTTACATGTACGTCTTAAATACGCCTTTGGCTGATTGGGTCAGTACTTCTACACCAGTAACGTAACATCTCTCATATGAATATCATGAGATGAGGGTTCAAAAATTAAAACTCACGTGTTTCTGGAATTTCTTCAAATGTCGCCCATTTCTGAAATAATGAATTTATTCCATACATTTGCATTATACTGTACATATAGTATTCGAATATTCCTCAGTTTCTAACAAATTTCAAATTCAACGTCCTGTACCTCGTTAATTAATCGACCCAAGAAACAAGTTTCAATTAGTTCGTCCATTTCTACTGAAATTACTAATTAATATTGAAAAATGTTACTATTATATACATGCATACATATTATATTCCCACGGAATAATCAAATAAATAAATGTCTTTGCTTGAAATGTTTTATTGGAACATTTGTGCATTCCATTTCTAAAATTTGAATAAATACTTAAAAACTAGTTCCTTATAATCTAATGAACAATTTATATACAACATCACAAAATTATCCTGATTCCTATAACGACTCATCTAGGTACTTATATCTATAGAAAGTCAAACGCAGAAAAATTCATCAACGTTTTCTTGACACGTGTCGCATTTCACCTCGCAGCACCACTCGAAAGTACAATTGCAACGTTTCGAGACTGTCTTCTTCAGTCTCTTCACTGTATACCCGCACTTCTTGCACAAATTTCTGCAACTGTTTCTCTCGGCAGCCATTGTAGAATTGGTGTTCCTCGAACACATTCGTCCTTTGGTGCCAGAAATTCCTAGAAAGAATACAAAACTTTTTTCGAAATTTCACTTCTCAATTGTATGCTTAAAGATTTCCCTGGAGAAATGGATTTGATTTTTTATAAAAATATTAGTGGAGAGTCTTGCTCTCCAGTTATCGGTGAAACAATATAGTCATGCACTAGTGAATTTTAGGATACATCGTACCTATGCCAGTGGATTATAGGTCCTAAAACTTTTTTTCAATATTACCAACATTGAAACTGACATTTAACAAAATTGCTCGACCTACGGTCTCGCCATTTTTTCATGTCAGTTTGGCTCGTAAAATCACTGATTGGCAAATGTTTTTCGTTACTAAGAGAAGTTTATCCGATGAAAAAAAGTTCTTGTGTTTTTACTGTTGACATCTGTTGACAAATTTGAAAAATCCAAAATCTGAGCCTAAACATGTGCCTGTGTTAATTAAATATTATTTTAGAAGAATATCTTCATAGGAACCCAGCGAGCACAAACCTCCCTGGGATGTTATGGGATGTTTTGAAAATGTTGGCATGAAGATGTTATTTTGAGACGTAATATGCACTGACCAAAGAGGTCTTTGAGGAATATTGAAGTATTGCTTTTGTTCTTCTGTGGCATTTCTCTGTTTGCCTACTGAGAGGTTTCCCTGGGATGTTTTGGGATGTTTTAGAATTGTAGGCATGAGGATGTTTTTTTGAGGCGTAATATGCACTTCCCAAAGAGGTCTTAGAAGGATATTGAAAGTATTGTTTTTGTTCTTTTGTGCCCTTTCTTTGTTTGCCCCACCACAACGTCTCATGATTACGTCACAATACGATGAATCCTGATTTGTTTCCGATTTTGTTCTTCTTGTTCGCAATTGGCATTCGCGTTTGCAGCGTGTCACGCTTACATCACGCTGCTAACGAACAGAAAGGAATTTGGTGAAGTTTATTGTGTTAGAAGACTTATTTAGTTTGTAATAATGACCATCAGATGCAAGATGTGTTGTTCGGTGCCTCAGTGTAATCAATATATAAAAGTACGAATTCATCAATACACAGCTTCTCCGCAGTTGCAAAATAAATTATGCATTGTGGAGAACAATTCAAAAATTGGGAAACCTATTTCCAATTATATGTCTGTGTGTAGTAAGCACTACTCAGAAACCGATTAAGAAGGTAATTTCATATCAAGAAGATATTTTTATGTTCAATCTATTTTTTTATGCATTTTTTCATTCAAGGGAAATGGAATCCTAATGCAAAAGTTTATTTTGACAAAAGGCTTCAGAAAAGTACCTCGAAAATGGTTTTTTTACAGCGATTCAATGTGCGCAAGACGCGTTGAAAATGTTTTGTTATGTCCATGAAAAGGTTTTAAAAAGAACTAGGGAGAAGGTAGTTTATTTGTGACATATCAAGGACATCTCGATAATTGCCGCCTGCGGCCTGGCTGTTCTATAATAGTTCTATTAATGTGTTAACAGAACATCGCAGTGGAGGTTCAATGTCTCGAAATCTCGTACTTTTAACATCTCTGAGATGTTTTTGTGCTCGCTGGGAATGTCTATATAATAATGTCTATTGAATGAATAATTCATTTGTTTCATAGAATTGTTATTGTTGAATATTTTTCTGAAATTTGGAACAGATCTATTTCAGAGGACGTCGATTCCAGTGGCATACGCAGATTTTTTCTTAAACAATCGCTAATATATGGACTGTATATTTTTCAGCCTTTGAATGTGATCCAGTAGGCCTTGGATTTAAGTAGAAGTAGACATCGCTCAGCACAAAAATACACCTTTTATCACCAGAAATAATAGATTTATGCGGATGGCCCGCTTTGGTGGTGTATAGCGCCTGAACTAAATATTCTACCTGTTTTATTTCATCGAAATCTCAAAGTTTTAAAATTTTTTCTCGAAATGTCGAGATTTTTGCTCAAAAATATGAGTTCAAACCTGAAATACTTCCAATTTTCAAATTCTCGATATTTTTGATATACCCAGACAGCACAAGGTGATCTTAAGAACGTTCTTAGAATATTCCTGTGGAACATTTCGAATATTCTCAGAATGCTCTCACAAGGTGCACTGATCGTTCAGAGAATATTTCAAGAACATCCAAATGGGTCGAAAATTCAAGTTCCAATAGGAACGTTCTCATAATATTGTTCAGAAAATTCTCAGAACATCTTCAGAATATGCTCAGTACCATCAGAATATTCTAAGAACGTATATACAGAGTTTCTGAAAGCGAAAGGAAAATATACCAGGGTCCGATATATAGGTGGAAAATATGTTCATAATTGTATGTTCCAAAAGTGACCATCAGATGATATTTATTTCACACACTTTGAAAAAACATCACCCCAACTGTTACCGTTCAAACATGATCATTCCTGAAAAATAATAATATATTCTACGAACCTACCTGGAGAACATATACCTTGAATATTGGAACAATACATTCTATGATACTCTGATGTCCTATGAAAATCCCCGTGAAACATTCTATGAACATTCAGAGCATCCTCATTATATACTATGAATATTCGTTGGCATATTCTGAAGTTGTGAACGTTGTGAAAACATTCATAGAATATCCTGTGCTGTTTTGATAGCTCGGCTGTACTGATGATGTGAAATATCACCGAAACGCGAAAACTTCTCTAGTATTAGCGGTAGTTGTTGTGAGTATTTTGTTATGATTATAGGTACCTTCAGCTGTATTCAATACACAGTAGTCCGGAGATTGCTCTAAGTACACCAAACTGCTTTCCATTCCTTCTACCTCTTTTTCCATCATCTCGTGTTTCGCTGTATTCTCAACGTACATGGATTTTTCCACAGTCTCATATGACAATCTCTCGGATTGCCTGTATCGTTCCTTCAGTTTTCTGGAAATCTCCCCAAAGGAAGCAGTCTGCATCCAACAGGTTTGCAAGCTACAACTCCCAGAAACCCCGTGACATCTACATTTTCTAATCATCGAACTCCGAACTATCTATTGGAAAGAAATAAGAATTAACATGAAACGCTCCTCATTTTCTTATTGAACATGATAAATTGATCTGAGGTAGGAAGCAATTTATGTATACAGATTGATTCATTGAAAATGGGAAATCTATGAACTACAGATAGTAAACACAGAAATAATGAGATTCAGCCCAATATGCCTGATGTTGCTGTTTTAGGGGATACAGGGTGTTCTAGGGAAAGAAAATTTCACAATAACTTTGTTAGTTTTGACAGCATGAACATTAAATCTAGTATTTCTGGGTTTTCTGACATGAGGAATATGAATTTGCAATTCATTTTGTGATTGCTCCTAGAAGGAGCTAGTTTCACTCTGTTACTTCGATAATTCACATCATATCTTTTATGTGAATTCATTGATGATCAAAAAAAGTGTCTCCATTTTCCAAAATTTCCCAATTTCCACCACAGATTCGTTCATGACGACATCGAATTGGTCTATGTGGATTTTTTCAAATTTTTAATAGGCCAAATGAAAATTTTCATTTTCCCCCCAAAGACTTGCGTATACGATATAGTCACCAAGCCATCTTCGGGCAGCCGAAAGTGCTGGAAAACGGCCAAAATCCACGCGAATTGTAGTTTTTTCAGTAGAAAACGACACGCTGAATCGAAAGAGACCATGATAAGCCCTATAGGATAGATAGTTTTCGAGATATCGACGCTCAAATTCAGCTTTCCGCTTTTATTGCCAATAGGAGCACTCCGGTAGGCTACTACGTCTCCATTTCTCAAAATTTTTCGATTTTCAACACAAATCCGTTCATAACGACATCGAATTAGTCCATGTGAATTATTTCAGATTTTCAATAGACAAAATAAAAATTTTCATTATCCCACCTAAGACTTCCGTACGATAGAGTCACCGAGCCATCTTCGGACGGTAAAAAGTCCCAGAAAACGGCTGAAATCCAGGCGAATTATCGCTTTATCAGTGGAAAATGACACGCTGAATCGAAAGAGACCATGATCAGCCCAATAGGATAGATATTTTTCGAGATATCGGCGCTCAAAGTCAGTTTTCTGCTTTTATTGCCAATAGGAGCCCTCCGGTAGGCTACTACGTCTCCATTTTCCAAAATTTCCTGATTTCCACCACAGATTCGTTCATTACGATATCCAATTAGTCTATGTGAATTTTTTCAGATTTTTAATAGGCCAAATAAAAATTCTCGTGTTCTTAATGATAAGTGACAATTTTAAAAGCTATCAAATTAAATAATTTGACTCTATTGCAGTGACGTACTGTTTTTGATATATGAACGATACATCATACAAAGCGAATCTAGCTGCACTTGGCTCACATTTCAACACTAGTTATGTAATATTTCACATAACGCAACTAGTTGCGTAACGTAAGACGTTTCAAAGCTTCCATTATTTTTTAAAAGTGTCAAATTACATGTCAAAATCAGAAGAAGGCACATTTCTCCGCACTAGTATCAGAACTAAACAGAGAAACCACAATAGAGAACTTACCTCGCTTCCAATTTTGGAATTGTGCCTGGCTACATAGGCTGCAGGCTTCATATCCTTATCCAGAGCGTTCAAGAACCTCTGTGCTATCTCAATGGCATAGCTGGGATCATCCGAACAACCGCCCCACGACCATTTGCTGGTGTTCTGTAGGTTAGGCACCTCTTGAACAAGGCTCGATAGGAGCTCAGTGGAATTTTCTATGTAGATGTGGTTTGGTAAGTGAGTTGGAGGCCCTCCTAGGCTTTGGTCACAACCACAACCTTCTATGGAACCTCTAGAGCAGTTTCTCGTGATTTCGTATACTATGCCAGCTGCTACTATGGCTTTGGCGTAGGCTGTTTCTCTGGTGGGAAGCAATTTGTGCTGCCTGGGGAAGAAGATTTATTGAAATTTATTTGAAAGAAACGAAGTTGATTTTTACTTAGGGAAGATAGCTATTCACATAATATACAGTTCTTGATTAAACGGCTTCTGCTTGGGGTTTGGATTCAGGTGAAAAATTACAAGGAATTGAGTGGTAGAAAATGGGTCGAAACGTTTCGCCCATGGTCATTTCATACAATGTCTCAATGTTAACCACTCAATTCCTTGTGATTTCTTACCTGAATCCGAACCCCAAGAAGGAACCGTTTGATCAAAAATATATACAGGATTCAAGAAAAAACCCCTCATAAAAAAATAATATACAGTGATGAAGAGCTGTGTATTTATATGAATCGAAGTAATATATTCAAAATCTAGAAAATTATTAATATTGTTGACATTCTATCTTCAGTCTTTAAAAAGGCCATTATATTTAATATGGACAATGGTAGATTGAACTTTTTGTTCAGGAGCTTGTTTACCAATGTTAATAAATCATTTTTTTTCTGTGACGGGAAAAAAGTTTGGCATTTCATCTCTGTTGGCAGGTAATGAAATGTTAATTTTCATAAATTACTTTTTTCCCGTGGGAAAACAGTGAGTACTTTTTTCCCGAATAAATATCACATATATATACACTGTTGATGGCTTTTGTTGTGCTATAGTTCCGAAAAATGAGTCAATAATACCGTCTCCGAGAGAGAACTGCAAGTCCTTTCATCTTCCATTCGACTTAATTCGCAATTTTTTGAAATCAAATCACAGAATTAGACTGACAGAAGTGACATCAGATATTTGATTACTTCAAAAGAATGATGGAGATGACTACAACGCAGGTGTCCCTACTGTTAAGAACTTAAAATTTCACGTCGATAATTTTCAGATTTCAAAATAATCTTCTCAATATTGATTCGTCCTTTCTTCTGTCACAGAAAAAGATAGTGTATTATACACGGGAAAAATCTACTACCTTTTTCCCTTGTATAATAAACCATTTTTATTTTTGTATACTCAATTCTATTTTGTCAATGAGAAATTATTCTTGAGCAATAAAGTTCCACGGTGGATGGAATATATAAGGAGTACCTGGAGAACAGATCGAAACAATAAAAATTTGATTTGACTCCGAATTTTAATGTAGGTTTTTTCTGAAGACTCTCATGCATTGAGATTACTCAATAACCCCTATTAGAATCATTTTGTCATTTTGGGGTTCCTAGTCTCCATCCATACTGAATTTCGGCACCATGAAAGCTTATACAGGGGGGTTATAAATAAAAACAAATAATACTTCCATTTTCAACATCCTGTATCTCGAAAATGGAACAAGTTAGAACACATGTTTATATGAACTTTATTTTCTAGAATGTCACAACGAAACAGCCCTCGCATTCTTTCGGTGTTACTTAGATATACCCTGTATATTTATTTATCTATCAAGTGAATCAATGAATCTACTGAAGGTAATTTTCAAATTCCAATGCTGACTTCTTATTTCGTATACATACATTTTATGGAGTGATTTCTTTTTTGTTTCTGTGATTATTCTGAAAAATGTATTACCTGGTGAATGTTGATTTTGGACAATTCCATCTGTCCCATTGGAAAGCATGTTGACAATGTTCAATAGCCAGTTGAGTTCCTGCTGCTATACTGTCAACAACGGAAGGACTAGTGCCAACCTGTTGAAAAAAAAACACACTATTATACAGGATGTCTTAAAAAACGCTGATCGCTCCAACTCCACTAGTTTTCATTCAATTTCGCTGAAGTAAAACACGGTGTGCCTCAAGGCTCTGTCTTAAGGCCACTTTCATTTATCATGTATATCAACAATTCTCTCTATCACATGGAACCCGAATCATGTATTCGTTAAAACGCTAATAAACTCCAATCCCACCAATATATGCCCCATAAATTATATTCTAGCTTTAGAAAAGAAGGCTGGTTCTCTGCAAACAAGTTGAAACTCAATGATAGCAAAACAAATCGCATTACCTTTTTATCAAGAACCCATTGTGGAGACACTGTCAAACTTCAGACAGTATTCTAGGAGTTACTCTTGACGATTCGTCAAACTGGTCAAAACACATTCGAATACTTTGTTCTAAACTTTCCAGTTCGATTTTTATAATGAGACAACTTAGAGGAGTGATTAATATAGAAGTTACTCTAACTATGTATTATTCATTCTTTCATTCTCATTTATCGTATGGAATAATATTATGGGAAAATTCTATGGATTCATTCAAAGTCTTTAAACTACAAAAGAGAATAGTAAGAGTTATCGCAAATGCTGGATATAGAGACCACTGTCGGCCTCTTTACCAAAAATATGGTATTATGTCATTACCATCGCTTTACATATATCATCAAGTGCTAGAAATTCATAATAATAAGAATAAACTACAACTTAACTTTCATTTTCATGACTATAATAGTCGAGGTTCAGGCTAAGTTAGCCCCTTCCGATACAGGTTGACAAGATCTTCAAGAAATTCGCTCAACGTAAATCTATACAATCATCTACCTACCTATATTACAAAGTTGGAGGCTAATAAATTCAAATAATGGGGGAGACAATTTCTGACAAAATCATGTTTTTATTCGGTATCAGAGTATATAGACTCTCTTCCGTCATATGATCATCATCACTGACCACAAAATATTCCTGAAGATGTCTTTGTTCTGAAACTAGTCTGAGTATTATTTGTATAGTATTGTTTTGTTCATCTATATTTTCAATTTTATTTTTTTGTTGTTGTTTGTTTCCTGTTATTTCACTTAATATCTAATACTTCATGAATAACTCAGTTATCGACTTTTTTTTATCTCACTTGCTGCAAATTGTTTATAGGTAGGTACATCAACGTGGTCAAATAAATTACTTACTTACACATACAATGGTTCGAAAAACTTTGTCAACTAGAATGATTCACTCCATTTTCTCGATTCAAAACAATATTTTAGTTCAGTTTTGTTTGTGAAAAATATGAGAAAAATTGCATCCAACTGATTTTTTCTTTCTTTCCATAACTATGAATTAGATGGTTTTGACACCAGTTTGAGATGACTTCCACGTATTTTTCTTCTTCAATTTTTTTTCAACATATCGAACGAACATATTTTAATATTGTACTACTCTACTACTACTGAAAAATTAATCGACAAAATCATAATTTCTCATCACTTGTAGTACCTGGAAGGTAATTAAGGATGGAAGAATATAGTATGTTACATTTTGAACTAGTATTTTCATGCAAATATAATAGGTAGATATCAGGAATCTATTAGTAGTGCCGAAACTGCGACCGAAACTTAATTTATTCATGAACCTGTATGCAAATCAAATGAACAAATGAATTCTAAGATTATTCAATTTCCATATACAATCTGGTGTGAAATTTTCTCAAATTAAATTACTTTCCGGAAATTCTTTCGAGCTCATGGATATTTTGAAAATTATTCCGAGTCGAAAACGACCTCTAGTGGTATTACAAGGAAAAATCATAGGTCATCTCTACTAGTTCAAACATTGAAAGAAATTGAAAATATTAACTTACTGGTATTGGCAAAATACTTCGAGATCTGTAACTTCTCAATGGATTCTTCATCAATGGACTTGCCGAAATAACGTTCACTACCAACACCAAAAACACCATTGCCGGTAACATCTTTATCAGGTATACCGTAAGACAATTACTATAACTAGATGAAATTATGAATGAACCATTCTTCAACGGATGGGATCCTTTTAAAGCTCAATGAAGGTATCATAAAGGTACAATGAGGTGTCATTATTTGGTATTAATTTCAAAAAGGGCATTGCAGCATCGGTTTGGTTTAACCTAAGCCGATTCTGAGAAAATTCTGTTCGTTTATTGGATCTAGATGGCTTTGAAGCCGATGTGGAAAATGCTTTGATATTTTTCAAGACGGTATGATCTGATGTTTCAGTCATAGATATTTTTATTTATTATACATGGGAAAAAAGTATAGTAGATTTCTGCCTCAAAGACAAAAAACCGTGAGCTGAAATCTTTTATTTCTTCCGTGTATAATACACTATTTTTTTCTGTGACAGGCAAAAGAACGAATCAATTTTGAGAAGATATTACATTAAAATTAGAAGATAATCAACGTGAAATTTTGAAGTTTTCAAAAGGAATTAAACCTGCTTTACAGGCATCTTCTTGCAGACATCTTTATCATTCTTTTGAACTAATCAAATATCTGTAATTTCAATTCTGTATTTTGATTTTAGAAAATTTCGAACTAAGTAGCTGTTCAGTAATTCACGTCGCGAAGTGGAATGGAAGATTAAAAAGACTTTAAACCATATACAAATATATACTGGCTGACACATTGGACGTTTCTGGAGAACGTGATTTGGGATTTTTCTGAAAATTTGGTACCTTGAATAGTGTGCTCTATCGATCTAAAATATTCTCAGCGCTGCGACATTTCCGCTTTTATTGAAAAGTAGCATCAACTTTGATTTTCTGGATAGGACACCCTGTATATTATTCCATTTTCAGATCCACCTTGAAAAGCTAATTTCATTGACCTATCACACTTGGGGTTCAGCAGTGACAATTACAAAGATAAATATGTGAAAAATCGTGCTTTTTCAACTTCAAGATTTTTTTGTGTCGAAACTATTCATATTCATTGGTCAAAACGGTTTATTGAAATTTTCAACCACCCTGTATCTATTTCAATTAAATATCAATTGATAGTACATGAAAAGTTGAGTTAGAGACATAGAGAAACCGTTTTAGCTAATTATGAGTAATCATTCCCTATATCCCTGAATTCATTTCAGGTAGACCCCAAGTGTGATGCATTGATGAAATCAGATCTTAAGGAAGAAACTGAAAATGGAATAATATATAGGGTGTCCGATGAAAAAAAAATCAAAGATGTTGCTACTTTTCAATATAAGCGGCAACGTCGCAGTGTTGAAAATATTTTAGGTTGATAGGACACAACCAATCATCCAAGAAACTGAATTTTCATTGAAATCCTGAGTTGCGTTCTCCAGAAACGTCTATTCCATCCACCGTGAATCAGCCTGTAGGTATTTCAGGGAAAAATGTAATTTATGGAAAGTGACATTTGTCATCAAATATCTAACTCTTTTTTCGTAACAGAAAAAATACTTTGTTCGCAACCATTTGATATTCATAATAATCATCGAACTGCATACGTATTGACATAAAAACAAAAATACTTATACATTCTCTTCTGATTGGACCTTCCGTTCGATAGATATGAAAACCTGAATACGTATGTGCAAAAATTACACCTTTATTGTGACGGTTCTCAAAATATTCTTTTTTATTTTCGATCCTATGGGATGGTTATGGAATTGTGTCCTATCTATAAAAAAAACTGATCAATTTGTAACAATTAATATTGTAGATAATATTTTTTGTGAAAAGTTCTGAAGTATTAGTCTAATTCCATCTGAAGAAGTATCTTGGGGTTTGGTTCGATTATTAATGAATGGAACAAATATTGTATAAGGATATTGATGAAAAACTATCTTGTATTCCGACATATTCAGTCGTCTCATTATAGCTATTTGATGGATGAAGAATAGAGTTCAAATATAAATTTTGATAAAATAAAGGAAGTCTTGAAAGTGCATGCAGTATTGAAAATATGAAAATTTCTTATGATAACATAACAATATATTGAAATCCAATTTAATTTTGAAATGAATCGAAATTTTATAATCACTGAACTAGACAACCTAACTCATTTCACTCTATTATAGGTCATATGAAAAACTACAGAAATATAATGAAATTCAACATGAATTCAGTAACTCACTATGTCTGAACAAAAAATAGATGAATTCATGTTTTCACTTGTTATGATCCCTATCAATATTTTTTGTTCTCTGTACACCAAAATATTCAATGAATTCAAATACTTCTACCACATGTTTCATGACTCTGTTTCAATGGGCGTGTACACCTTATTAGAACTTTTAACTCAAACCATGTTTATAATGATCCTTCATACATAAATAATGATTGTGGACATAATTCGATCGAAAAATTAACTGGAATGTTTCATTTTTGGACATAAATAATAGTACAATCTGAAAAGAAAATACCAAACGCCCGACGGAGACTGAGGCAACTGATATATTAATTCTTTCAACTGTGATCTCGCGCTAATTTACTCTATCAGAAGTCATGTATCATTCATCTCTGTCTGGAATAGTCTTGTTTCAGTATTAGGGTTTTGACGTCACATCATCGCCTCGTTTTCAGAGGTCCAAAAAATCGGGGATTTCAATAATTTTTAATAAAACGTAGGGAGCTCACAGCAAGAAACGGTTTACGGTGGTGAGCTAGTTTGGGTGAGTTCTATCGAATTATGAAATATATTTTTTTGTGATATAAGCCCATTGCATATTATTTCTATTAGTGTAACCTACTTCCTAATATAAGAACTTTTGACTGGAAACGTAGTTTTGTTTCCCTCCCTTGAAGAATGAATATTCAGCAGTGATGCGTTTCATTGGAGAAAAATAGTTATTTTTGTATCTAGAGCGCGAAATGCTACTTTGGTGATCGAGATCTGATTTTTTTAACGAGGCGTAGCCGAGTTAAAAAAATAGTCGAGATGACCAAAGTATTTCGCGCTCGAGTTGCAAACAACATTTTTTCTACAAACGTCAAAAAATATAGTTCTAAAGAAAAAATATACTTAGCTTGATATAAAAATTAGTGTTGAACTGGCCTAAACGTCTCGAAATGATATTAAAGAGCCAATATCAGTGCAATATTGCTGGACAATGAAATACAAAATCCACTAACCAACATGAATCGGATATTGATGCAATATTTTTTTCCAAGATTGATTTGATATTGGAAATACAATATCAGCCCATCATGAAAATTGACATATTATAATCGTTAATATTTCACCAATATCAGATAGATATTGGCAAATTGATATCCGCTGGTCACAAAATTTCAATGTCATCCCAACATTCGCACTGGATTGATGATCGAATATTGAAATGAAAAATTGGTATGATATAGTGGGACAATCTAGTAATTCCATATTAAATATTCAAATATTGGGCAAATGTGAAACCAAATTCTAGCCAATATGATGTTCTACCTGGGCCCCCCTATCCTTCCTAGGTACGCACGATGTTCCACGAACATAATAGGAATTTCCTTTCGTGCGCTCCAAGAGATAAAACAAAGTGATTGTTGAACATTCAGAAATTAATGATTTCGTGGATGTTTGCTCGATTGAGGACCATGAAGTTGAAATATAAATATCTCATATATTTCACATAACAATGCGCGAAGTAGGTACTTCGCGCACTGTTTTACTTCGCGCATTGTTTTGTGCAAGATATCATGGTTACGTAGGAAACTGAAAAAAAGTGGCACTTCGCAATTTGTTATCAATACGCGAACCTTGTCATTTTTTGACGTTTGTAGAAAAAATAAATAATAGGAAAAGAAACTTACCATCAAATTGTTGTATTATCTATTTCCCATATTTTATTGATGCTCCCCTGTATTCCGAAATACTATACTCATTCATAAATTGTCATTCATCTTTATTTGGGAAAGTGTCATTGACAAGAAATTGGGGATTTAAGGATTAGGTAGCCTAGGGTATTGAGGAAGTAGAGGTTATTATTTATTAAGTTTGGTCGAGAGGTAGGTACATGCAACTATGCAGGTAAATCATTCTTGAACAATTTTATTGTTGTTTTCTGCTCTGTTGAAGCCAGTAACCGACTTATAATTTAAACATTACCTGCCTCTAATTTTTTTCACGAAATAAGTTGACAGTATTCAACGGAGCTGAAAAATATCAACGACTTGACTTATATAGATTTGATGAAGGAAAGAACTCAATGAACAACTGAACTTCAATTCACAAATTTGTCGTTGAATTTTGATACCCTTGAAGCAAAACATGAGTTGACTGATTCAAAAGATGATTGTAATCTTAAAAAGTCTCATTCTCTAGCTATGGAAACCTAGCAAGGTGTGCAGAATTATTGGAAATTCAGTGCCATTTCAATCTCACAAAGTCAACTTTTTGACAGTTTCCTGAGATAATTTAAACATATATATTGCTCAAACTTCCTTTGGTTTAATTGATTTTGATTGGTTTTTTACGACTATCCAGTAGGCAACCGGAGCTACAGCCCCGGGGCCTCTACAAAAAAGGGGCCATCACAAAAGAGAAAAAAATCTTTCGACTCTCGACGAGTGAACACTAGTGAAGAACTTTCCCTTTAATATTTTTTATGGAAAAGTAAAGTTCGTTAATCAACCACTTGATTTTTTGCGCATAATTTCGGGAACCCTGTATATCAGTTATCAGGTAAATAGCCTTACAGGGTATCGAAATTGTAGAGATAATCCGCGTTTCACGATTAGTTTGGTGAAACCTATCATCATGATTTATTTCAAGCATTGATTTGTTAGAAAATTTGATTTTTTGAGGTATTTTCTACCGTTTTTCCAATTTGCTATACCCTCTCAAGGTACCTAGGTAAAGTCAATGTGTGAATTCTTTTCCTATTACCTCGACAATTTTTCTGTGGCAAAATCAAGGTGATGAATTTATTGGTGTGAAAGTGATTTTTGACGTATTTCCAAGCGTTTTTTCAATTTGCTCCCGTCCCAAGGTGTTTGAGTCAATGTGTATGTATACAGCCATCAATTATCTCTCATCTCAACAAATTCTTATGTGGAAAAATCAAGGTAAAGATTTGACTGGTTCGAAAAGTTGATTTTTCGAAGTATTTTCAATCGTTTCTCCCATTGCTTTCCTCCCCTATATAGACATCCTTCTTAACGACTATTTCTAAGGGAAAATCTAGCTGAAGAATTGATTTGTTCGAAAATTTGATTTTTCGAAGTATTTTCAATCCTTTTCTTCCAAATAGCTTCCCTTCCAATGTATGTAGGTGAATGTGGATACAGTCATTCTTTCTCCATCATCTCGACCTATTGTTCTGTAGAAAAATCAAGGTGAAGAGTTGATTGGTTCTGATGATTACTAAGTATGTCCGTAAGAAAGAGGTCAATGTATTAATATTTTACTTCGTACGAACACTATCCGTTTTTGAAACATTTTGTCCACTGATTATTCAACTGCAGTAGAAACATAATACAATTTTTCCTATGCCAATTTCAGTTTCAACCTATTATCAGTAATTGAATTACTCTGTTTCAAATTATCACCCTGTAAAATATGGCATGAGATAAGTTTCAGTATCCTCATTCAAGGAATATATGGTTGACAATCCAATATCCTTTTCGTGTACACCCTATATTTCATATTCAATTCTATTATTTCAAGAAGAAGTTATGAGAAAACAAAAACTTCATAAATAAATTATAGTATTTATGTAGTGTCTCAATGCCTTGGAATATTTGTTATCATCACATCTTCACATAATCTATTGTCTTCGTACTATTATTCATCAAGTGTTTGCCGCTAACGCTATCTGGTGGTAAATTATTGACCTCCTTGACACTCTGTTTGAACTGAACAAAGAATCGCATCTCCCTCATGAACTGCTCTTTGAAAGGGACATTTTCCCTCCTGGACCGCTTGTAAATACAATTGGTCATCTCTGCAAAAGACCCCATCATTCCCAAAATGGTACCAATGAAGAGTACCAAGAACACTCCACCAACATTCTTCAGGTCTAGTGGCGTTGCTTCACCTGCTTCAGATTTAGACTGGAACATGAAATGGGGTCACCCTGTATTATTTCATATTCTCTTAAAGTCGAATGTCAATTTTTACTTACAGCACATCTTCCACCACCTCTTTTTTCTTTCCACCATTTTATCTTGAGACCAGTAAGGATGCTTTTCTCTTGAAGTTGTAGTACTGCGGTACTGAGGTCATTCCTGTATGGTGAATCTAGAACAGAAAGGGGATTCAAGCTTCATGTGCAAAAGATAGGGTTGCTGAAGCCTATTTCCTCACATCTTTTCATTGCAATTCCATATCCCTTGTCATCCAATAGTCCCCCTACTCTAGCCAGAGTGCAATGCCTTTCGGTCACATATTCTATGGTAGTAGATTCCATGAGGAAAGCATAGTTCTCATTCTCAACTTTTACCACACCATCCTCGTTACTGTCCATCATTAGCTCAGGATGGTGGACCATGTAGCTCCAAACTTGTTTGTACTTCGTCAAATTTGAATCCTGGAAATACTGTCATGAAGTACAAATGCCTATGGAATAACATCACTCAAACTCTCGTATCATTTCAAGATCTCCAATCATGAATCAATTCTTTAGTTCCTGTGACATATTTTTTTATGTTCTGGTTCCCACGATGAGGGATATCCTGTAATGTTCAGAGAACATCGTGAGAACCAAGGGAAATGGGGTAGGAATTGGTGTTCCTTGAATTTCTGGAGGTTATATGCCTTGGGGAACACCACCCTTGGCAATGTGTTCCAGAGCCTCGCTGTTTGTTGGATGAACGAGTTTTTGGAAAGAGGTGTTCTGCAGGTCTCCAAAGTGACCACGTAGTGGTGCGAAGCCTCAACTAGACGGGTCAATCTCGCGGGGACTTCCAAGGGAGGAACAATTGTTCATATTCCAGAAGAACATCGGCCATGGACCAGATCGCCAACTTTTCGACGTTGTTTCAGAAAAGTGAGTGAGTTTGTGAGCGAGGCATCACCCACGAGACGAATTGCCCTTTTTTGGACAGATTCCAACAGTTTCAGGGTATGTTTGGGTGCTGCACTCCAAATATGGCAACAGTGTTCCAGGACAGGTCGGATCTGTGCCTTATAGATCATAAAGCAGCTGACTGGAAGTGAAATAGCTCCTGGCACGAAACAGAAAACCAATTTTTTGGGATGCACTTTTAGCAGTTGATCTCACGTGATTTTCTCAAGGAAGGTTATTGCTGATAGTAATACCAAGCATCGAAATGGATGTTATTAAAGCTATGGTCACTCCTGCCAATCTTATGTTGGGCACAGTGATATTGGCTTTTCTAGAGAAAAGGCATGCTTGTGGTTTGTTTACATTGAAATCTACCAAGTTATTGGATTCCCACTCGAGAATTGTTGCCAAGTCCATATTTATGTTGTCAACATTTCATTTGTGAACCGCTTACCATGCGAAACTACCTAGGTAAGCAATACCGCCAGGTAACGGCCATTCCCATTGCGGAAAATTGCACACCTAGCATCGATTTCAAATTTAAATAGTACCCGAATGACATGGCATTATTGATTACTCATTCACTCATGATTCAATAACTAGAATTCATTTATTCTTCATTCATTCCATACTCGGTATTTGATTTTCGAATTTGAGTTATCAATTCATGAGTTGTCAAAATGTTCGTCGTCTCCCCGACTTCGATCCTGCTAGTCGTCAAACCCCGACTAGACATCATAATGTAAGCACTATATTCTCATGTGTTCTTTCTGAATAATTTTGTGTTCTCAAGTTGAGAATAGGTAGGTGTTCTACAAAATGTCCTTAAGTTTGATCCAAGAGCTTTTCACAAGGGTTTATACAGGGTATCCTGTGACTTGATGCCCATATTTCTCAAAGAATTTCAAGTCGGAAGTTCACTAACCGATGGATTGCAAGAGGTCTTCCAGTACTTCGACCACCGAGGTCACCTGACCTAATGCCTTTCGACTATCATCTTTCGGGAAAATATCATGACTGCAGCTGCATCCATGTGAGATAATCCAGATACTATTCAGAGAACAACGGCCTCAATATTCAGAAGAGCGGTTTTGCGAAGCAGCGGTTGAACATTTCGAACAAAAACTCCAATTGAATTCGTGTAAATTATGAAAAGAAAATTAATTGATGAAATACAACATCACTTCATTCAACATTCTTTTCACTTCATTCTACACAATCTGTTGAATACAATATTGCTCTTTACTCCTCGACTATAGAGCTTTGAACACCTGACGTTAATGTATGAGGTTAGTGTTTCCTTATGGTTTCCAATGCTGTCTTCTGAGTTGAAAAGAACTATAGTATGAATGTTCAAACCTACTCAATCATGACAGTGTTTACCCTGAAATAATTTGCTGTAGCTCCATTCTTCTTAGCCCCAAACTTGATCTCCTGTTGAGCTGCTAACTCATCAATATCATTAAATGGGGTCACCAAAGTCTCTACAGTTAAGAATGCTGCCAAGTTCGCAGTATACGAGGATACCATGATTAAAACGAACAACCACCATACTCCTGAAGCTGTTCTTGTAGAAATAGCCCTGCAAAACGAATAAACTCAAATCAAGCTGAATCTGCAACCAGATTGTGAATCAGTAAAACCTATGAGCCTACTTGACTATAGTTTAGTGAAGCATAGTTGAAAAATGTTACTTACACTGGGGCTAGCTCTGAACCTTGTTGCATTAGGGCTCCCATTGTAAACCAGAATGAGTTCCTTATGGTGAACTGGTTGACTAGATATTCTGGCTCGTCTACACATGGATAGGGATTCTGCCACTCGCTTGGTGACAGCCTGCCCATAACGAAAAAGGAAAGAGATACTATGAAGTATGAAATTCCCAGTAGCAACCAAACGTAGAAAGAAAATGGAGAAGCGAACATGAACAGGCTAGGGGGGACCGGCTCTGGTTTTCTGTACAGGATACTAATTCCTAAAATATACATTAAGCTTGAGCCTTAGTGTGGAGTATCACTTTAATCAAGCAATAAAATGATATTAATACCGAAGTGACACTTTGTTTGACGAGGAAAGGTTGAGCTTGATATGGTCAGTCGAATCAAATCTCACCTAAATTCATGAATGGCATTGTGAAGTCCACTGCACTTTCTCTTTCAGATGTAACAGTCAAATCCGTGATAGCCAAGTCAGCTCTCTAGAAAAAAACAGAAAATCCTTCAAATTCATTGTTTAATTAGCTTTGGTGACCTCTCCTAACACTGATAAAAGGTTTAGTCCTGACAAAGTTACTTTAATAATGGAGTTCAAAAATTCAATGTCTCAAGGAAATTGTGTCTACAACTGAGTTATATATCCATTACTCTGCTGTTACGAATCAATCAATATGTATATTATTATGTCGGCGTCAAACAGTGAAATCCGACATTCCCTGACATGTCAAGTCATTTCACGTATTGTCGAACGGCTAAAAATGGCCGTTAATCTGTTTGCCAGATGGTCGAGGAAGGAAAATATAGTTTCTGCATAAGCATAAGAAACGATACTACTTTTCCTGAACAAAATCAAACTTGGCCTGAATGAAACTTCTTCCAAGAAAGTAATTTTTTCTGAAAATTACGAGGAAGAACAAAAGAGACTACTTGATCTGAACAACCTAACCTGATTCGGCCTCAATGAATCTTCCTTCGGTCATTAAATGAAATGACTGATACTATTAGACAAACGATGTACGAAATTTAGAGTTACGCTGTTTGCCGGCAATAAATGACTAGGCGTTTCAGGGAATGACAGGTTTCACTGTTTGACGCCGATATATATACCTACACCATCAATGATTTCTCTTATCATTCCATTCCATTTTCCAGTAGACTTATTTCTATTTCCATACAAACCATCTTCTTGGAGAATGAATGTATAATTGAATCCCAGAATACCCGACAGCTCCTTGATCACGTCTATACCAAACCCTTCAAATCTATCATTCCCAATCAACTGTGTAGTGGTTTCCTTTAGCATACCATATGGAGGAGTCTACGAGTATTAATCATTTATCATGTTTAGTCTACCAATACCAATATCTTACCAAGCTGATCAGAACGATGAATGTTGTGTTGAACAAGTTATCTCCCAAATTTTTCTGGAAATTTTCCACAACTGGTCGCTGGAGATCAATTGTTCGTAAAGTTGAGTTCCATTCACCAACTTTGATGAGTCCTTGTGGGTACAACTCAAGAACATCGATCTTGAAGTCCCTGCGGAAGCCTTCGTTATCAAATTTCATGAGACCAGTAAGTCCCAAAGTTGATTTCTGAAAAATACGGCTTCATAGTGAACAATCGATTAATCGTATGCATTGTTTTACAGATTTCATCAGATTGATGATTGAATCTCCGTACTTCCAGTTGTCTGTGGATTTGCAGTTGATTGGACGAGCCTGGATGATCATTTTTCTGTCAATTGTCAAATCATAGATGGTTTCGTAGAACAGTTGAACAGCATCAATGAGCAGAGCTGTTTCAACCCTTAGTTTATGTGAATCACTGCTATCACGAACTGCCATTGATATCCTTTTCACTTCAGTAAGATCAGGATCGATCATCCTTATCTTGAAAAAAAGTTACTAAATACTAATGTCGCCTTTTCCATATGTTCCTTACCCCTGTTATATTAGTTCCCCCATACTGAAACGGTTCTATATCTATGGTTTGAAGGTCCAGATTGGTAATCAAGTAGCTATATATTTCCGTCATCATTCCTACTTGTTGTAACTGTTTCAGGACGTTTTCCAGAATGTCAATTGAACAGGCTAGGACGAATTGCATCTCCCCAAGCAATTTGACTTTGTTCAACATCGGTCTGTAGTTCCCAGGTTGCTCATCTGGATATTCCAATTGTTTCAGGATAACTTTTCTTCCTTTCCAACGCACCACGAATGAAAAAAAGTGTGTTTAATGCCGAGAACAATATGTCTTGAGGTCCACTTAGAGTTCCTCAGGCAAATGTTGAATTTGAGAATGAGTAGTTGAGAATAGTTGCTGTTATTAGATTACCTTTTTTATTATTGAACTCCAACAATGGAGCCACACTCAATAAATTGTTGTCATCATCGTAGATCACGATAACTTTCTTCCATCTGAAAGACTCGATCAAATCAATGAAGAAATCAGTCAAAACCCTTGGATGGGGATGAACATTGACCAAGGTGTCGTTCCTGTTCATTTCAAAGTCCCTATGAGTTTCAATATGAGGGATCTCCTTAGCATCACAAAGAGATTGTATAAATGGGGAAGCTATAGATGACCCAGGTCCGAAAATTGCTATGCTAGCATTTTGGAGATGTCCACAAGTAGATCGGTAAGCTTCAAGGGTGTTGTGGGGCAGTACTGAGGAAGTGGAGGGTACCAGTTCGATTTGGGAGTAGGGGTACTTGTTGTTCATGGTGTAAGTTGCGATGCGGAATGCTGCTTCTTGAATGGCATCACTGAAAATGCCACCTGCAAGGATACCAAGAGAAGGTGAAGCTGTTGTATTATTTACTCAAACATATTTGCATAAGATTTTTCAAACGGGAGAGCGAGAAGCATTGAAATATTAAGGTTGCACTAATAATGGGAGTGTCTATAGTGCCTGTCGATGATTTGAATTGATGAATTTGAGAATCAGTGATGTTCTTACGCGATGTCTCAATTATTTTTGAAGATAGAAATTTGCGGTTTCCGTGAACGTTAGCTACTTTTTTGTGAAACTGCTAACGAAATTTTCATTACTCCCATCATTTTTAAGATACAGGGTGAAATTGAAAATGTTGTATTTTTGGACCCCCCTTGTATATCAGCTATCTCACAACTTGTTAGGGAAAAGGAAAAGTAAGTCCACAGCTTCCAAAGTCGATAAATAGTGCTGAATATTGGTACATGAATAATGTTGGTAAAATTCAAACTATAGTGTGTGACGAAACTCTCTGTCAGCAACAGGGTAAATATGAAAATTCATATTAAAAATATTGCCACACATTCACAAGGTGAATCAATAAGATATATGTATATTCATTATTCCAGATTTTTTGTGATTCTATCTCCTCGTTTTTATAAATTGAAAATATGAATGTTATTTCCATATACGTGTAGTAAGGACAAATCAGATGTATTGCCCCAAAATGTCACTGCGTTTAAAAAATTTCCCTATTTTGTGTTCAAAACTGGTAATACAATGAGATCAATTCTAACTCAAACAAGGCGAAAAAATGAAGAACATTCGTCAAAAAATTGTATTTACAGTATGCCTTGTGTTTGTGGGAAGTTTTATACAGATGAAACAAAGAGACCTCTTTCAGTAGGGACGAAGAAACATAAGTACAATATAAAGAAAAGATACATCGACAAAACGAAACTAGTTGAACATATCCTTACTGAAGATGGACAACATATGGCAGAGTGGAATAATATTGAAATCACTGGAAAAGAAGATAACAACCAGAAGGGAAAAATCGAGGAATCTGCTTGCATTCTTCTGAACTGAGACAATATCATTGCTTCCTGTTCAGTAGATATAGATAAAACATCGTATTCACTACTGAAATGCGAAAATGAAAATGGTGAATTCAAGATTAATTCATGAAAACATCATGTAACTCATTTCATTGCCACCGTCACCAATTGTCACTGAGACCTGTCAAGTGTCAAAACTAACCACATTGATAAATGTTGTTTTTATAGAATGCCAAATATCAATAGTAGAAATTTTAGGGTGTTTAAAAACGTTATTAATAACAGGTTTACTAATTTAGCCACCTTATTGAACACTCTTCTTAGAGAATTGAACCAAATTGGTGAATGAGATGTTCTTCAACATCCTTATTAAAGTGCTGATCTTACAACAATTGAACGACATGGTGAGTGGAGAAGCTCAGCTGTTAGCAGAAAGTTATATCAATGATTTTATATCTAATAAGCTTGATATATCCAGGAACATTCAAGGTTATCATGGTAATATAATCGTTCTTCACAAGAGGAGACATCCAATGAGTCTAGAGATTCATTGAAAACTTCGACAGACACTATCTGTTCTGAAACCGATGACAATTATACAATCATGTTGATATTGGAAACGATCGAAGTGAATATTGATTCAAGATTGTCTTTTTTATTTTTCCACTAGCGAATAAGGTGGTACTCCATACGGTTGATGAGTGTAGATTAAACTTGAATCATAAGATGACTATGGATAAAACAAATTTATCAACGACGTCATATTTATTGATGTAACCAATGAATGTCTCCGAAACTGACTCACCAATATTATATCGCTGTTTGTCATGACAATCAGTCCTGTTGACTAAATCCAAAACTAACACCAGTATAACAGTCGCCAACATCATTATGGTGCTTCGCTTTCTCTAGGTATATAATACACGTTTTGAACAATGGACTGTAGGTACTCGAAGAAAAAACACTAAGTATATTATTATACAGTCAGGATGCAATCTACTAAATCACAATGTGTATTGAATAGAAATTTATCTCGTCTCATCTTTTCAGCAGTGTTTTGGTTACATTGAACCTTCCGGAAATAAACAGTATATTTTTAGACAAATGACTGTTATTTAGGTTTTGGCGCACAATATATCACCACTACTGGAATGAGCAACTTTTCTTTTGTTGCACTTTCGAAACATTATAATGACTTCATATGCTTCATGTAGGATTCTCATTCCTGAAAAATAATATATAGAACCATACAAGATCTAGAGGAGTCATTATAGTTTTATATTTATTCGATTTTGGAAATAAGATGAGAACCTCATATTAATTATCACATTAGATAGCTATTAATTCTATTGTTCCAACAGCAATAGTGGTCTTTATTTCACCAACGTTGTACTTTTTATGGATCATTGATTCCTAGCCGATCATTGGAACACCAAAGGATTGCCGAGGACCTTCCACTTTTTTTAGATGTGTCCAATATACATACATGATATGTAGGTACTTAAAAATCGAATTCTAACGTATGTAATGATAAGTTCTAAGTTTAATGATGAAAGAGCTTGCAAATTGATGAACTAGAAATATAGAAGAGCAGTGATCGTCTTGTAATGTGATAAAAATGGTTAGTATGTTTGCATGGTTCGTCATTGGTATAGCCATTTTCTCTGAGGTCATAGTGTAGTGGTAATTCAAACAGTTACATCACAACTACCTACAGGTTGTGGAGGTGTGGTGAGAGGCAGAACATACGATGAATAGTCCAGTGAAGCAAAAGTCAATTTAGAGAAATTTTATGATAAGCCTAAGCAAAGGAGACAGGTACAGCAAGCTTCCGTTGAAAATTATCAGTGATGATTATCAAAATCGAAAATCGGAATGTTCCCGTCGAAATATGAATCGTTGGGAAAATGTTTTTTCATCAATATCTTTTGGGGCAATAGGCGTGTGTGCTATTTTTGTTCTCAAATAGAATCATCACCCAAATACCTTTTGGTTCAATATTTTTTTCTACAAACGTCAGTGAAAGTATAATTTTTGACGCATGCTGTCAGTGTCTAAAATGTCAGTTCATGACACTGGTGTTGAAAGTAAATCACTTTTAGCACTAGTGCTAAAAGTGATTTATTTTTATGAGAAAATATGTAAACATAATTCATAATGAAATTTTTATTCAATTAAAAGCACAATTAGCGAAACTACAATTATAATACGAAACTCCATGGCCAGTCTCATTAGTAGATGTGACAGAATCTAATTTCGTGAAGCTTGAACCAGGGCAGAGAGCAATATTATCTGCCGAAGTTTTCGACAAAATTTGATCTGCAATGTTTTGTTTCCTTTGTAGCGAGTCTTCTATATAACCCTATGCTACTGTACTGGACTTCCATCCACTATGTCTTTTAATTGTGGTAAGACTTGCACCAGAGTCCGCCAACCAACTAACTGAGGAACGTCGGAAACAATGTCCAGTATATAGATGGGAATCAGGCAAATTAAGAAATTCGGCAATTTTGGCAGGCATCTTACCAAATGTGTTGATTCCAACTGGAGTCCTGGCACATTTATTTTTAATGCATTTTATAAAAACTCTAGAATGATTGATATCTACTGGATGAAGGGCTATGTACTTTTTGTAGTAGTTCATATACAATGTACCACTTACTACAAAGGTGCGTTGCACATTAGTTTTTGTGTCTGGTATATGCACAACTAGGGAAGTTCCGGAATCCTCGATATTATTTAATGTCAAATCGCACAGTTCTTCTCGACGACAGGCTCCAAAAACATCAAAAATCGCAGCAACTTTCTGCATTAGATATATATCATCTGGGACTCCGGCGAGAAGTTTGTCGATTTGTTCTCTTGTCAATACTTTTGATTTTTTCGGTCGATATCCTTCACCCTTTCGCTTCAAAAAAACCACAAGCTTGTGATATCTGCTTATGTCATGATCATTTATGTTCATCATCGACTTTAACATAGAGTTATTCGACCAAAGCGTTGACGATTTCCATATTTTGTACTTTTCTTCAATGTATGCAAGAAGCACTTTTTCACTGGCCTCCTTTCCACTGACATTTTTCTGATCACACCATTTCAAGAAACGTTCGTATGAAAACTCGTACTGTCGCTTTGACTTACTAGGCAATAATTCAAAAACAGCTTTATTGGCAGCTTCATTAATTTACGGCGGAAGAAATTCATTTTCTTGGGCACTAGTGCTTCGGATGACACTTAAAAAGCTAAGGTCCCCGTCTTCTTAACTCACACAAGTCTCTGACTTTCGAGGGTTGCTTTGCAACTAAGCTGGCGGTTAAAAACACTTTTAAAACACTTTCCATCGAGGAACGAAGGAACGAGAAAGAATAATTCGTGATTTATTGACGTTAGTTGAGAAAGATAAATCAACAAATATGCAACAAATTCAGTTTTTGTTTACCTTGGTAACTTGTTTCATGGATAGATTAGATTGAATTGGATTCAAAACTGATAATCTCGAGGATGTTATTTAATCAATTAATAAGTAATGTAAAATAGTTATGCGTTAATTTGGACTTTTAATGGTGTCTGTAGAGAAAATAGTGTATGATATATGTGCTAAAAGTGTTTTTTCTTTTGTTCGAAGGGATGGAACACTCCGTCTTCGGCGTCGTGTCCCAAACTTCCCTTCTCACAAAATAGTATGACACTTTTAGCACTTATATCATGAATAACTAGTCTGTAAATATTCGGTCGATGTATAAGGTGCTAAAATAAGGCCCCGTTTTTTTTCAAACGTCCAGAAATTTATCGCTTGTAGAAACCATTTCATAAGTAGGGGCAGACCATAGCACAGTTGGCATATGTTGAAATTCGATTAGGAACTCCAGAAATATAAACTATACAATAATTCATTGATTCTCAATGATGTATTTATTACATTCCTAATTAGCAACAAAAAATCAATTGTCTCAAAATGTTCCCTGGTAAGCGTGACAACACGGCGCACGAATTGTGGGCTGTGTCTTGTCAGTTCTCAGCATTCAGCACAATGTCAATAATGAACTATAATATAGCATGGATTCCTCCTATTATGTTTTACTCAACGACAGGACTCTAACATCTTTCTGATAACTTGATTATAATTGATGACTCAACAACCTTGTTTCATGAGTGGGAATGGGAGATTTTCTGACCAATAACTAAACGGCATAAAAAATGACGTCACCATTTATTCGACGTATCGCCAAATGGCGGCCATTTTTATTGTGATCAATTTTTGGTGTTGTAACTACCTACCTACCTTTTCCTGAATTGGATTGGACCTCCCCTCCGGAGTAAGTGGCCAGATACGCCACTGTAATCACTCAGATATTTCTTCCGCCATCTACAGGTCTATTGAGCTGCATCTCTCACAACACCATATTGTGAGCATCTCGTACTATTCCACTATCATCAGATCGTACTTTCTCATCAGATTCACTGTACTATCACTTCCAATGTGTTTGCTATGTTTGTGGCGATAGCACGCATGGCATTAGCACAGAATAAGTATCTTGGGATCCATCAGAAGCAGAGCAACTCCTGCTTTATCAGACTAACTGAACTGACATTTCATTCCATTGAACTATCCGAAGAAGAAATACTAGGAGATGATACTCAAGAAACACAATACTCAGGTACATGATTTATTTTCATTTATAGAGAAAATCCCAAAAACCTGAGAGCATATTCAGCGAAGATGGTATATTCAACCAAGATGATCAGAAAATTCCACAGAACGAAAAGTATAGAGACTATATAGGTAGAAGAACGTTCAGGATGTGAAATTCAGACTCTGATTATCATTATATTTCCTCAATCGGCAGTTAGCCGTTCTGGATGCTGCTTTTCATCCAGGCTAGAGATCTTATGATATTGAAAACCACACTATTCATTCCACTATATTCCGTAGTCAACTGGTCAGTACTTTCACTAGATCTACAGGCTACTGAAAATCTGTGTTCCGAAATATAAAATCAAAAATACAGCACTGTAATTCGGAACACGCTTTTATGGTTTCAATCAGCAGTTGATAAGCTGGTGAAATTTGAATATCATTCTCAGCGTCAAATATTCCATAAAAAACCCTCACTGATATTACATAAGATATTATTAATCTATTATTGATAAGACAATATTCATTGTTTGAAAAACAACGGAAATAAATGTGACATTCCTTTGCTCTCTAAGATAATGTCAATTCACTGAAGCCACAGCAACTTCAGCAGAATGTTGAGTCACAAGTATATGTCACTTTCAGTGGATTCTTCCGTTAGTTTGACTTCGGAAAACAAAATCAGCAGATTCAGTACTGTCAGTTGGATACGAAATATAGCCGAGATACTCATGGTTTGAAGCAGATAACTGTTGGTTCACAGATGGTTTAAAAACACCGTCAGGCTCTGGTGCGGATTGCATACGGTCGCAGACCTAGGGCAGAGATATCATACAGCCTATAGGATCCTATGTAACCGTATTCCAGACGGAAATCCACGTCATTGCTTCAAGGACCAAGCAAACATTGTTGTGCAACAGTGGAACAATACTCGAGAAACACACGAGTTCACACAGTGTGTACATATTGCGCAACAGTTGTACAACAGTTGTGCAGCTGTTACCAAACTGATGGTCGGTGTTTGCTCCCGAGGAGGTTCTTCAAAGGAGATATATTGCCCAGCAGTGTGCACACAGCGTCTGCAGTGTAGAAGCATCTTCTTCGTCGCTCATGGTGCCTGACTGAACGGACTCTGGACAAACACCAGAGAAAGCAGGCTGTTCGATGTTCCCCAACAGTTTGTCGAAAATGTTCTCTCCACACAGAAACAAGTTAGTCAACAGTTTCCTACCTGTTGCACAACAATGTTTTCTTGGTCTGTTCCCACCTTATGTGGATAGATTGAGACTTCTGGCAGAATCTTCCAGTCACTAAACAAATGTTAGACTACAGCAGGGATGACCTAGGCTCTCTAACAGGTCTACTCACAGGTCACTGTCGTCTGAATAATCATATATGGTTTTTTTGTTATCTCTTGAAGCGCACGAAAGGAAATTCCCATAATGTTCGAAGAACATCGTGTGTACCAAGGGAGGATAGGGAACGGAGATAGGTATGGGCTTTTTCCAAAGCATTGCCAATAGATGATCCCACTGACATATGGAAATGAACTATCTTGACCGCTGATCCTATGAGATTGACGCTATGCCACTCACGAAATAGAACTGGATATCATCAATCACGCACTTTCAGAAGATCTTGAAGATGCAGAAACAACAGAGCATATTCTTAGTGTCTGCCCCGCCACGGTCCGCATCAGGTTTACGCCGTTTGGCAAAGTTTCACTCTCGCCCTCGGAACTGAAAGATCATTCATCAAGTTAGCTAATTGGCTTCTTCAAGAAGTTGGACCAACTTGATGAAATATGAATGTGAGCCACAATTAATAGACCTTAACGGGTAGGAGTGGAGCGACGAAGTACACACTTTGCACCTTACTTAACATAACCTAGACTGGATTAATCATATTTTCAAGTTACACGATGTCAGCGTCCGTTTTCTTCGTTCATCAAGAATATTTGAAAACCTGTTTATCTTTCTCTCCACCATCTTTCTCTGTCTTGACTCCCAGCGAGCACAAACATCCCTGGGATGTTTTGGGATGTTTTGAAAATGTTGGCATGAAGATGTTATTTTGAGACGTAATATGCACTGACCAAAGAGGTCTTCGAAGGATATTGAAGTATTGTTTTTGTTCTTTTGTGGCATTTCTTTGTTTGCCTACTGAGAGGTATCCCTGGGATGTTTTGGGATGTTTTAGAAATGTAGGCATGAGGATGTTTTTTTGAGGCGTAATATGCACTTCCCAAAGAGGTCTTAGAAGGATATTGAGAGTATTGTTTTTGTTCTTTTGTGCCCTTTCTTTGTTTGCCCCACCACAACGTCTCATGCTCACGACACAATACGATGAATTCTGATTTGTTTCCGATTTTGTTCTTCTTATTCGCAATTGGCATTCGCGTTTGCAGCGTGTCACGCTTACATCACGCTGCTAACGAACAGAAAGGAATTTGGTGAAGTTTATTGTGTTAGAAGACTTACTTAGTTTGTATATATAAAATATATAAAAGTACGAATTTATCAATACACAGCTTCTCCGCAGTTGCAAAATTATGCATTGTGGAGAACAATTCAAAAATTGGGAAACCTATTTCCAATTATATGTCTGTGTGTAGTAAGCACTACTCAGAAACCGATTAAGAAGGTAATTTCATATCAAGAAAATATTTTTATGTTCAATTTATTTTTAATGCATTTTTTCATTCAAGGTAAATGGAATCGTAATGCAAAAGTTCATTTTGACAAAAGGCTTCAGAAAAGTACCTCGAAAATGGTTTTTTTACAGCGATTCAATGTGCGCAAGACGCGTTGAAAATGTTCTGTTGTGTCCATGAAAAGGCTTTAAGAAGAACTAGGGAGAAGGTATTTTTGTGACATATCAAGGACATCTCGATAATTGCCGCCTGCGACGGACATTGGCTGTTCTATAATAGTTCTATTCATGTGTGAACAGAACATCGCAGTGGAGGTTCAATGTCTCGAAATCTCGTACTTTTAACATCTCTGAGATGTTTTTGTGCTCGCTGGGCTACGGTGCATTGTTGATCATCTCTGCTCTCTTTCTCTCTCTCTTTCTTTCTATCTCTCTCTATCTCCCTGGAAAAATACCTAGCTCCTAACGATGGTGGTGCTGGAAAATATATAAAACTGGATCGTTCTACTATGTAAGTGAAATGTCTGACTGTGCGAGAGTTACTTTCGTTCGCTTGGATATTCTGTGACTCAAGGCCTAGGCATATCCTAGCGAGTATATTATTCTTTTTCCTCGTAGTTGGTTCAGGTCTATATTATAGAATCGTTTCAAGCGAAGCTCTAAACGGGAAACAGTCGAAAGTCGGTCAACAACCGCCTTAGCAGTGCGTTGGTTCTTTCGTTGGTTGTTTGGTTGCTTTTCCTCGCACCATGAACCCTTAATTAGCACGTGAGATGGTATAATAAGGAAGCCGACAACAGTCGTTTTGGTGAAGGAGCGATATAGCATCTGGTGTAGTGAGGGTGTTCTAGATTTTTATCCTGCTGGGGAGGCGTTGACTTGAACGCTACAGGTGAGATTGGTGATGTTATTCTGTGTGTTTTGCTCCTGCTCCTGCTGTTTATGATGGACGATTGTTAGAAGGTGTTTTGTCATGTTCTCTTTTGACTTTCGAGAAAGTTCGGCCGGTTACTCAATAGATACTCGACGGTTATTTATTATAATAATATTGGCTACAGAATTCGTCGCCCTTGAATAATAAGGTTCTATCTGCCTTTTTTACCGAAATTGAGATTTTGGTATTTTAGGGTTCTATCTGATGAATTCTTCATTTTGAGAGGTCAACTATCGCAATCTGTTGGAATTTAAATGAGTTACAGTCATAATGCAGAATTCTATCTACAGAATGTTTCTCTCTCAATTTGAAATAACAACATTCTAACTACTTACATAATTTGATTTATCATGGTCCTATCTACACCCAGATAGAACTCTGTTTCATCAAACCAATACATAGGTTTACACCGAGGTTTACACCCTTGTTATACACAGTTTAAGGAATGGGTATATTCCTTAAACTGTGCTTGTTATCCTAGTTCATCAACATTAAACATTCACAGTCAGAGTGAGAAGTAAATGAATTGAAACTGATTTTTTTTTCACTTTTATTTTTCATCAAGAGCTTGAAAGCAGTGAATAAAAGAAGCCATACTACATCTTACTAGCTGGATGTTAACGATTTCAAATATTTCGAAAGTTGTATCAAGAAACTCCAATACAAAAATATTCTCTTTTTCCAATTTGCTGCATTGGTATTAGAACCTATTTCGCTGCATTCCTGAATGATCTAACTTGAATCAGTCATTTTGTACTTCTCCATTTCGATAATTCGAAATATACTTTTGATAAAATCTACGTGCCGCAGTTTTTTTCAACATATTACTATTATTACTACTCAGACACATGTGCTTATACTTATATCTCGACTCATATACAGAGTATGATGCAATTGTATGGAATAAATTCATTTCAAAACAAGACGACTTCCGAAAAAAATCCAAAAAGTAGAGTTCAGAACTTTTTTATCGATGTATTTTTTCAACTAAACGACCCTTCGATGTTCAATTCTCAGTAGAAGATCTCTGCAAGATTCAGTTAACCAAATGATAATCCATTTTAATTTCAATCTTCTTTTGCAAAATTTTGACTATTGGATCGACCTTTCAAACGAGGTGTCACATGACCCCTGTTTGTATTTAAAAAAACCGTCCATTACGTCATTACTCCAACACCGCGGTGACGTCTAACATCTCTCATATGAATGTCATGAGATGAGGTTTCAAAAATTAAAATTCACGTGTTTTTGGAATTTCTTCAAATGTCGCACTTAGAACATCTCAAACGAATTCCAAATTAGTTTTCTCATATTTTCTTTAGTAAGTACGTACCTACGTATTTTTGTTTGAAAATCACGAATTTGATAATGAAAATGTGAAGAAACCGAGGAACGAACCATCATTTATTATAAGATATTTCACTATGATGGTACAAACTTCACCTTCTTTTCCGCCTTTCCTTCTTTTGGATCGCATTTAGAACAATTTGGCCCTTCTTTTTTCATCATTGGACAATTTGTATATCACAATGTACTTCAATAACACATTTTTTCATATGAAAGTCAACTAGAGATATGATTTTCTTGTGATTTATCAATATTTAGTGAAAAGAGGGTAAGAATATCATTTAAAATAATGTCATTCAAAAGCAATCTGTTGACATTTGACATCTCGTATTTGAATTGAGGGTGACTTCATATAAACCTTCAGCAATTAAGACATTTGAACATTTAAGACTTGAGCGAGGACTTGAGAGTCTCAAGTGGATTCAGTTATGAAAAAAATGATTCTAGGGCGATACATTCCAATCAAATGTCAGTAGATAGTAAATCAAAAGTTGAGATAGGGATATGAAAGCTGTTTTGAAATAGGCCTGTTCGTTTGTGCTTGCTCATTGCTCAACCTGCTAAACTTGATTATTTTCTATGACTTTCTTTGTTCACATCATGGCATGAACAGAGACAACTATGGTAAAAAGATCAACTTTAGCCAGTTTAGCAATACAAACGAACAAGCCTAATAATGAATAGTTTCGACCACGGTTTCAACACGAAAAATGCTATGGTTGAAAAATCTCGATTTTGAACACCCTATATCCCTGAAATCATTCCAGCTAGACCCCAAGTGTGATGCATTAATGAAATCAGCTCTTCGGGGAGAATCTGAAAATGTAGTGGACGTGTTCCAGATTTTATTCATAATCTGGTTTTGGCCTTTTGGCGACCTACAGAGCCTCTGTTTCGTTTTATTTAGTTTTACTTACTCCACTTCAATTCAGTAGAAAACAATAATCGAACACAATATCTTATTACAATCGAAAGTTGACAATTGTTGTTTCTAGTCCAATGTTCATATTGAAATATAATTGACCATCAGAGTTGGATCCTTAACTCAATTAAAGATTATTCACCATCATGTGAAAAACATTTGATCGAGCATTCGATATTGTCATCAATATTTACATTGAACCTCAACAACGATCACTGCTGATTTGACTTCCCGGCTTATTTAAATATTGGAGATAAAATACAAAAATATCTAGTGATACATTTATGAGGAAGTAGATAACTATATCGAAAAGGAATATTCTCACTTCTCAGATATATTTACGAACAAAAAAAATGGAAAACAACTAATTTCCTGGATATATATCACGACGAACATTGAATTACATCTATTGAATACACACGATAAGAATTTGAAATCAAAATCTTCTGAAGAAGAATTTGCATTCTGCTTTATATAGAGCTATGCACATAGTATCATTCTGAGTATTCAACAGAAAACAACTACTTTCCTGGCTATTTGTCACGCCGAACATTGAATTATATCTGTTGAATATCGCTTGGTGTGCACGAAAAGAAATCCCTATAATGTTCAAAGAACATCGTGCGTTCCTAGGGAGGATAGGGACAGGAGATAGGTATTGGAATTTTTTATCAACTTCTGGAGATTATATGTTGTTGGAAATACTTCCTCAGGCAATGAATTCCAGAGCCTCCAGAGCCTAGCCGTTCTATGGATGAAGGAGTTTTGATGAAGTGCTGTTCGACATCTTTCGAGGTTGACAACGAGAGGATGTGCTGACTGGGCTTGTCTAGTTCGTCTGACTGATATTGTTAGTGAAGGGATGATGTCAGAGATTTCTGAAGAACATTTCCCGTGGAAGTATCGATAGAAAAGTGAAAGGTCGCCGACCTTTTTACGGTGTTCCAATGATGTCAAAGAGTCAGTGAGTGTGGCGTCACCCTCCAGGCGAATGGCCCTTCTCTGGATGGAATCTCACCCCATATGTGGGAACAGTATTCTAGAACAGGCCGTATCTGCGCTTTGTAGATCATGAGAAGCTGTTGAGGTGGAAAGTAGCTTTTCGCACGGAACAAGAATCCGAGTTTTTGTGAAGCAGCTTTTGCGATGGATCTGACATGATTAGCATACTGAGTTCCGCCTTTCTAGAGAAAATACAGGCTTGAGTTTTGGTGGCGTTGAATTCAACTAGGTTGTTGGTTCTCCAGGCTGTGATTTCAGCAAGGTCTTCATTGACAGCGTTGACCTGCCTGCGCCGTGAATTCTTAGTTTCCTGGAAAGAAATGGGAATTCTGGAAGATAACGCAGTATGGAGGGTACTATCATCTGCTGAGCTGTGGATAAGGCAAGTTGTTACTCCCAACAGATCATTGATATGAAGCAGGAATAATGTTGGTGCCAAAATTGGTCCTGGTGGAACGCCGGAATTGATGCCAATGGTATCAGACGATACACCGTCCACCACCACGTGAAGCGATCTGCCTGGAAGAAAACTGGATAAGAGATGGCATAGCTGAGGTGGTGAGCCGTATGATGGTAGTTTGTCGAGGACTCCTTCGTGCCAAACACGGTCGAATGCTTTCGATATGTCCAACGCGACAGCTATGGATTCCCCGTGTTTTTCTAATGAAGCTTGCCATGGGTGACGTAGGCAAGTAGATCTCTGAAATTGAGAATCGACATTATCTCTCAAATCGAATGGAATAATCTCGGGAATAATATGATGTATTATGATATAAAAATATAACTTATATTCCTATAAAACATTCTCGGAATTTTGTCAATATGTAAATAGGTATATTTTCAGGAAATACAATGACATGTAGAGACATGTAGAGAGGTTTTCGATAGATATATTCCGAGTTCAAAGAGTGCTCAGTAAATTAGTTATCGAGTTAGTTATAAACCGAGTAATAAACAGGCCAAATAGGGTGTACAAGAGTGCACATGTATTGTTCTGAAGAGCGTTATCTTCCCTGAAAGTTTGTAAACCTTACTTTGATATATACACTATGTATACACTCGCTTCGGATGAACATCAAAGGCCTCTTCGTTTATGTTTGTTTTACCTACTAAACTCAAGTTTTTTCTATGAGTTTCTCTGTTTACATCATACCATGAACAGAGACAACTATGGAAGCAAAATCAACTTTAGCAAGTTTAATAACAACACAAACGAACAGACCTCAAGGAACAGGGCTAAAAAAATCCATAAATGGATCTCTCGGCGAATACAAAACATTTTATATCGAAAATAGGTCAACTCCCGACGAAAACGTGTTTTCATAGAAGTATATAGGACTATTTTGGAAGGGGAAATATCGAGGAAAATATTATGCCAAGCGCAGTAGACATTGTTTACTGGTTTTCGAGAAATTGATTATAAGAACATCGCAGTCATTGAACATCGCCAAAACAAATAATGAGGATTTCTATAGTATGGATTTCATGATCACATTGAAATTTGTCAGTTAATATCTTCTTCACAATAAGAGAAATGGTCCTATACAGTGTGTCCCGAGGTGTGTCCCAAATTCGATTCTCACTATTGGGATCTCGGTAACTATATGAGATATATAAAGAGTCGGTTAACTTACGAAAGTTTCAACAAATTCAATCATGATTCAGAATACCTCAGGAAATCTGGTTT